AACCCAGCTCGGCTGCGCTCGAGGAGATCCAGCCACGCAGGGACCTGGAAGAGCCACGGCTTTAGTTTACACAAGGCGGCTTCAGAAGCTATTCACCACGAGCGACGGGCTGGGCCAGCCGGCGGACGGGGCGGCACCCGGAGGCCTCGCAGGCACCAAGCGCTAGCAGCAGGCAGGCACACAGGAAGGGGTTTTGAGGGGACGCGGGCCAGGCGTCGCCCCCGGCTGCAGCCCAGCCACCGAGACAGGGTCGCGCCGGCGCTACGGGCAGGGCTCGCCCTGCCCCTCCCCGCTTGCCTTTCCAAAAAATCTTCCCTCCATCACACAGCATGCAGCCATATTCACATAAGCCACTAATTTCTTCCAGGGCAGAATAATTTAAGTGCTCCTTTTGCCAGGAAATTGGCAGCGCCTCTCTCATTAATAATAAAACCAGCCATCAGCCCAGGGAACAGAGCAACTCAAAGCGCTCTGACAGCAAGTGATTGCACAGTGGCAGCTGTACCACCTCCTCCCCGCTCGACCCACGGTGGGGCTGGACACTCGGCATGTTATTTGAAGTACTCGACAGCAATATTCTCTAGATAAAACACAACGCCGTTACATCAGTCTGCTTGATCATTCCTCTTAATTTTTTTTCCCCCTCTCTCTCCAAGCAGGTCTAGCTGCTTTTTGCTTTGAAGACCCAGGGAAATTTGATCATCATGACTTGCCTGCTTTGTTTCTGGATTAAAGGTTGCATAGCAGCAGGGAGCAAGCACTCAGTTCCCCCGCAACCAACAAGAAGCTGCAAAACTTGTCTCCTCCACGCAGTGAATATTTCAAATCAAAGCAAAACCCACTAAATAATGTCCTCATAATTTACGAAGAGCAAAGACAGGAGTATCCACATTCGGTTTCCATTGTAACCCTGACTCTATGGCCACTTTCATGTGTAATTTTTTCCTGTGCACATGAGCAATTTCACTGCGGCAAGCGAAATGCCTAGGGAAGCAGAAGTGTAAACGCTTACAACAATTTGTCCTTTAGAGTCACAGCGCCATCCCAGAAATCAAAAGCATGATGCAACTTGTCGAGCGCCCTGAGAGCTCTCTCCGGCTGGCTGGGGGCCACGTGCAGAATAGATAACAGTCCTCTGGAAGAGCCTTTGCTAAAGGAAACGCACAAGAAATTTGTCACCGCTTGCCGTCAGGCGCATCTGAATCTTAGACCTCAAGCAGCGCTTTAAAAATAATCTCAGCCTAACGCAGAGGGCCCTGCCCGCTGCTCTCCCTCCTGTCCCCTGGCATTTGCCAAACTGCCCTCCTGACCCCTCTCCTCCTCCCCTCTCCAAGGAGGCTGCTGGCAGATTGCCCGCGTTTCCCAGGCGGCTCTGGCCAGGCTCACGCACATCCGCGCCCGACGCCTCGCAGCGCTCCCGCGGACGCGCGGCGGCTCGCTGCTACCCGGCTGCGGTCCTGCGCTGACCCCGCGCCCGGGGAGCGCCGGCTCCCTCGCCC